TACACCTATGGATGCAGTAGCTCAAAAGAGGGAACAAATCTTCACAGCAAGGATCATTCCTACCCCTTCCACACACGGAGAGGACAGGGATGGGCAACTTGGACATTGGCTACCTAGAATGGAGGGGCTACAGAGGCAAGAAGTGACTGGCTTACAAGTTTTCAAGAGGGAACCTAGATACAGAGGCCGTAGAGCAAGGTAGAATCTCCTCTGAGTAGTATCCATTCTAGTCTAGTTGGGGCTGATGAAAGGAGATGCAAATAGGTCTCTTGTGATACAATAGCAAATAATTGTTATCAGGACTGATTGTAAGGGCTGGAAATGTAAAGGTAGACCCAGAGTCCCAGGAAATACAGAAAAAGAGTTGTAACACCAGAGATCATGAAATACAGCAAGAAGCAATGGCAGAAAAAACAATAGAAGTAGAACCAGGATCCTGGCACAAAGCAGGACAGTGGGCTTCCTGGCCCATGGAAGATGGTGGTTCCAGTGTTTGTACTGACCCACGGGATCAAGAGAAATAAGACAGGAGGTTTCCTGAGTGAGTGGGGTGAACTAGGCACTTACTGGCAGAGCTAAAGGATTTGTAACACTTGCTTGTGATCAATGCAGAGGTCAGGCAGGGGTTCGAGGACCACAGAGAGGACTGCCTGCAGGCACAGCTGAGAAGCTGTGCTGATGGAAGAAGTATATCCCAAGTCATTTCTGATCTTAAATCTGTACTCTGCTACCTCTCTAATAAACCCAAAACCGTGAATATGGTCTGTGAGTTGTGTGTGGCCGCTGCCAAAATTGGTAAAAAGGTTGGAAAGAGGATATATGTCTGACCTCTGCCTCAAAGCATTAACCTTGAACTGCGTTCTCTCTCCTTCCCCTCCCGAAGTTAGAGGAGGTCAGATGTCCTTGCATCATTTTTTTTTTTTTAAGTTTTAATGTGAATTGAGTAAAAGTTTACAGGGCAGATCATCAGTTTTACATTCAACAAATCAGAGATTTTGTTTCATTACAATTATTATAATCCCTTCTACGTACCATCAGTTAACAGTATTGCTCTCTATTCATTTTAGGGTTTTTGTTTGTTTGTTTGTTTAAACACTTGTTGTTGTTGTTAAGTGCCGTTGAGTCGATTCTGACCAATAGTGACCCTGTTTCTAAGGAGCAGCTGGTGAGCTTGAACCACCGACCTTGTAGTTCAAATGGCTTTGGCAGTCTGGCACATTAACCCACAGCGCCACACCAGGACTCCACTTATACACTTAGGAATCTATAATAATTTACACCATCAAAGGGCACATTC